TTGCAGACGTCGCTCAGGCACATTTTGTGTTTGCTCAACACCCACAGAGTTAACCTGTGGTTTATACTGTAACTTTGCTGAGCAGACCTTAGTTATAATTTCTAGGAGAGAACGTGTTATCTAGCGTGATCAACAATTTGAACAGGGTCACTAGAATCAAACCCTCGGTCACGATGACTTGTGACTTCGTGCTAGCACAACTATGTCTTATATTATATATATATATATATATATATATATATATATATATATATATATATATATATATATGTGTGTGTGTGTGTGTGGGAAAGGAGAGAGGAATCATAACAGACTGTGTAATAAATTTTTGACTTCTTTCTTTTGCTAAAAAAGTGTTATTTCCTAATTCTAATTGCTTCTGTCTAGAAAGCAAAAATAAATGCCTATTATTCCCTTCAAACTACTTTTTTGACCTGGACATCGATGTTTTAAAATTAACCTATTTTCTCTTACATTCCAGACAGATTCAGCGCTGAGTTTCTGAAGTTTCTAGTAGTTTCTAAATGTTTCAAGAATTTCTAGAACGTTCTGACTTCGAAGTATCGTATAACGATATAATGGAAACTTACATTTAGGGGCTGATTCATCAAAATAACTTACAGTATAATCGTAAAAGACGAAAGAACGACTCACTTCTAAATTTTTTGTGATCTCCAAGAATAAATAAATGCTACTCTGTGGTTTTGCTTTTACTCTGCCTAAACAAATTTTGTGAAAATATTAACAATTATTCATGCTTTCGTAAAGAAATTGGATATAACTGTTGCTACCCAAGGAGAGAAATCGTATGACAAAGTGTAATTGCCTTTATATGATTCTTAGATTTTAATACAGAAGCCATAAATTTTAAATAACTTATTTTCCCCTAAAGTTAGATTAAATACGATAGTTTAAAATCGTATTGTTCTCCGGGATTAATGGCTTAAATACTTGTATTACACTTACGGGATATAGAATCTACTTTATTAAGAATTTCAATGTAACATGATAATATTTCTAGTATTCCTTTATATATGACAAGAATCTTCTCTCTCTCTCTCTCTCTCTCTATATATATATATATATATATATATTATGTCATTCGCAGATAGTAGTTTTTTTCGCTGTTTCCGCACTGCGACTAGACATCCGAATGTATCAAGCCAGGATCGAAACCCAACCTATTTGGTGTCAGTCAAAGTTTCTACCACTGAGCTATCTTCCTTCGACAAAGAGAAACAGCCGGAGTGCTCAATTTCATTTTACTGAAGAGCTTTGCATTTACAAAGGTGGCTGTTTTTTTTATAGAATCAGCCTCATCAATATACAATCCTGTTTCTCTGTATCATACGAGTATCATGCAAGATGCAATCATCGGGTGCTAACTGAAAATACAGCATCTCATGATTGCCATTTGCAGTTGTGCCATCTATGAGACAAAAATGTTACTATATATATAAATAAAGGAACTCTTGGGGGGATTTAGAGTAATCAGATATAATAATTAGTCGTGCTTGAATAATCCCTATCAGCAGTGCGCATAGTCATTACCGAGAATCGAACTCGGACCGTTTCGAAAAGGCGCAAACCTCATAGCGACTGTATCACAGATCTCGTGGACTCGATACAGCGTGATACTTCTCCAAGTATAGCGTGATATTCCTCCAAGGATGCTAATATTCACAGAACAGTGCCACAAGAGAGACGTTTTCTTTTAAATACTTAGCCGCTCCTCACAAGCATTATCTGGGTCAAGCAAAGATATACAAGTGAAGACATTTTTGTGGGTGGACACGGAGAAATCATATATAGGAATTCATCGAGCCTAGAAGAATCCTCAACAGAATGCAAAAAATACTGGACGGCCGTTTCATCCTATTTGGAACTCATCACCAGTGCGCATCCACTATCGAGAGCCAATATGTAATATTATCAATATATATATATATATATATATATATATATATATATATATATAGTGTGTGTGTATGTATTTCAATATGCGTGCATGCAGATGGGGGCATGTATGGGCAAGAAAAGTTATCCCGCGAACAAAATGGCCGAACGATCTGCGCGTTGACAACTGCGACGTACGAAATAAATTCGCTACACAATCCAACATTGAATACACCGACCAATTGCGTATGTATGTACACAACGACACATGGATGCGCATATACGCCCAGTCCCACACTGATCATCTTTGTTTATGTTTGTGTGAGCGGCAATGCGTGGACGTGCGTGTATGTATGACTGCGTACGTATGAATGGCGTTCCGACGACAATTTTCCCTCCCACTATCATAAAAACACGGATATACGCAACCATATATAAATCCAAAATTTAAAAATTAATCAATTTGTCTGACTATCGCAAATAGCGTGAAACCCAGGATTACAAATTCACATCAATCCAACGGTCTATATTTCAGAGATGAGGTATTATGTAAATTATTTACATTATTCAGGCTATTGTCCTCATATTTGTTGCCATGTTTATCACAACGTTTCTAAAATTTCTCCATTGCCATGACCGGGTATTGAACTCACACTCTTTGGGTCCTGTCACTGGATCTAACCAACGCCGAGGGAAATTAACAGGAGATAATTGATAACTGACATCCATTAAAAACATGGCACGTGGAATTAGAACAGTCTACCCCAGTGAGTGAAATAAAGGGTTCAGTTCGACATTCCAACCACCTGAAGAAGGCCGGAGCGTACAACGGCCGAAACCTTGTGAAACTTAATGTAAATAATGTATCAATCCAACTATATATATATATATATATATATATATATATATATATATATATATATATATATTAAACACTAATATTAAACACTAATATTCCATATTAGTGTTTAAACCTTTTTATTATATCCTTACTCTGTCCTAGACATTGAGTTCTACCTGGATTCTTCCTCTTGAATTTTTTTCTATATACATGAAAATATACTTGTATAGGCATTTATATATTTTTTATATGTATGTATATTTTCCACTAATATTATCTATCTATCTCTCTCTATATCTATCTATCTATATATATATATATATATATATATATATATATATATATATATATATATCATAGTGGAACTACAAACTCAAAAATTGTCGTTTTGCTAGATGACAGAATTTCTACGTTTAGAGTTTGTTAAACTAATGTTTAATTCTATATATTAAGTGTTAGCTTTTGTTCTCAGTATTTATATATACGGGGTGTATCAAAAATACATTTAAAAAACTATTGAATCGGGATCCTGACACCAGAACAAGGTGAAAATGTCCATATAAACATGTGTCCAAAAGGCTATATAAAATGTGCTCTTCGTTGTCAAATGTACGGACGGATCTAGGTTCTTAATCGGGTGAAGAAAGGGTAAAATACAATAAATCTAAATTAGCAAATGATTGATGAGAGGATAGAGAGAAGAGAGAAAAAATAAAACAAAAACAACAGATTGAAGGAAGCGCTAGATACTAATGGGAGCAAGCCCCATCAAACAATCACGCTGTTTAGAGAGAAAGACGGTTTGCGATACTTGTTATACATTGACTCTAGATGAAATAAAGAGTATGAATTATATATATATATATATATATATATATATATATATATATATATATATATATATATAAATAATATAAAATAGAAAAAATAAAACAACTTTATATATATATATATATATATATATATATATATATATATATATATACGAATATTGAAAATATAGTTTTAATGTGTATTATATGTATAGGCTAAAGTGCTCAATATTAGGCAGAAAAGTGTATTTGAAAATATAAAAATGGACACTGAATATCACAACCCAAAGTGACAGTCTGTTTCATTCTTAAGAGCAATTGTCAGACCATGATGGTTTATATATTTGTACGTATACATATATATGTATATTTGTGTATATATATATATATATATATATATATATATATATATATATATAAATCAGTGTGGAATGTGTGTGTAGGTGTGTGAGTTCGTATCTTCAATTACAAAGGTTAAACAATAAGTTCTTAGGCTGACATTGTTATACTTTACATTAAATGCCCAATGTGAATTGTTGGATTATGTGCATTAACAAAGAATGAGATTATGTTAAAATATATTGGCATGTCAATTAAACTCTTTTTACATGAGTGATTTATGTAACTTATTAATGTACATACATATTGTGGTACACGTGTGTGTGTGTGTGTGTGTCTGTATCTGAGCCTTCTTCTAGCCTTTTTTTCCCAAAATAAGCTGATTTTAAAAGTGATGTCAGTTGTTACTAGGCTCTCCTCACTTGTGGCCTTATGCCATACTTAGTAAATATGAGCCTTCCACGTAGTGATGTTTAACGAACTATACTATTAATAACTTCATTGTAATATATTCGAACGTCTCGAGGTGCTACACAATTGTAGTCTGATGAGAGAGATAAAGATATGGAAGCCTGGCCGTTGGGAAATGGTTAACGTGTTATTCTAGCAAACAGATTATTATTAATCTGTCATATCTCAATAAGTGCTACATTCTCAGCTTATTTTAGATTAAAGTTAGCTCAGTGATTAATTTTAAAAAGGATGATGGCTGCCAATGTTAATGTGTTGCAGACGAGTAGAAATAACATGGAAAAAATCTTGCTTACGATTTTCTAATCGGCAATGAAGATAAAAGTATAAAATAGAAGAACCAGAGTCACGACTTAGGTTTAATTATTGCTAAAAACCTTACTATAGGAAATCCTAATTCATGAAAAGAAACATGCAAGAGACTTTCATAGTCACTCTACATGAATAGCGGCTTCTGTTTATGACGACTGACGCAAGTGAATTTACGCTTTATATGTTTTCGTACGAAAGTTTTTCGATATTATAGATTTTAAAAGAAATTTATTTTCACAAAAGCGTTCCTGGCAAGAATGTCATGATTTATCTTCCATTTTTTGTAGATTATTTTCTGTGATTCTTCTTTTAGTTGATTCTTGCTTTTTATGTTTTCGTTTCTGTCCCTCCATCATTTTCTTTCCTATCTTTTTCTTTTCTTCTTTCTATTTTCTTTATTTATTCAGAACAAAAGCTTTTTCTATTATTCTTCTTCTAACACCTGTTCTTTTTTCTTTTTCTTTCTTTCTTTCCCCGTTTCTGTCTTATCTTCCTTCCTTCTTTCTTTCTTTCTTTCTGTCTTTCTTTCTTTCTTTCTTTCTTTCTTTCTTTCTTTCTTTCTTTCTTTCTATTTCACTTTTGTTCCTTTCTTTCTCCTGCTTTGGTTTTACTTTTCTCTCTTTCTTCCTTTTCCCGTTTCTTTCTTTCTTTCTTTCTTTCTTTCTTTCTTTCTTTCTTTCTTTCTTTCTTTCTTTCTTTCTTTCTTTCTATTTCACTTTTGTTCCTTTCTTTCTCCTGCTTTGGTTTTTTTTTTTCTTTTTTTCCTTTTCAATTCTGTCTTATCTTCTTTTTTCTTTCTTTCTTTCTTTCTTTTTTTTTTCTTTTCTTTTTCTTTTTTTTCTTTCTTTCTTTCTTTCTTTCTCCTTCTCTTCTTAGACCATTCATTTTTTTTATCTATTTTTTTGTCATTCATTCATTCTTTCTCTCTTTCTTTTGTTTCTGCCCTTCTTTCTTTCTTTCTTTCTTTTCTTTCTTTCTTTCTTTCTTTCTTTCTTTCTTTCTTTCTTTCTCCTTCTCTTCCTAGACCATTCATTTTTCTTTATCTATTTTTGTCATTCATTCATTCTTTCTCTCTTTCTTTTGTTTCTTACCTTCTTTCTTTCTTTCTTTCTTTCTTTTTCTATTTTTCTTGCTTTCTTCTCTTCATTCTTTCTTTTTGTTATCTCCTCAGACAATTCGTTATATATTTATTTATTTGTACCATTATTTCTTTATTTCTCTTTCCTTTTTTCAGACAATTCTTCATTTATATATTTATCTATTTTATGCCTCTTTCATTTAGCTTGTTCTTTTCATTCTTTCTGTTATCCTTTTATTCGTTCTTTCTTTCTTTTTTCGGAATATTGTTTCTTTCTGTCTTTCTTTTTCTTTCTTCTCTTTTTTCTTTCTTCTTTCTTTCTTTCTAGAGACTATTCTTTGTTTCTTTACTTATTTTATTCTTTCTTTCTTTCTTTCTTTCTTTCTTTCTTTCTTTCTTTGAATCTGCCTTTCTTTCTTTCTTCCTTTCATTCATTCATTCACTCTTTCTTTTTTCGGAATATTGTTTCTAAGTTTCTTTCTGTCTTTCTTTTTCTTTCTTCTCTTTTTCTTTCTTCTTTCTTTCTTTCTTTCTAGAGACTATTCTTTGTTTCTTTACTTATATTATTCTTTCTTTCTTTCATTCTTTCTTTCATCCTTTTTCTTCCATTCATTCTTTTTTTCGATTATTCTTTCTTCCATTCATTCATTTATTCAATCTTACTTTCTTTCTTTCTTTGAATCTTTCTTTCTTTCTTCCTTTCATTCATTCATTCTTCCTTTCTTTCTTTCATACTTTCTTTCTTTCATTTATTCACTCTTTCTTTTTTCTTTCTTTCATTTATTCGTTATCTCTTTCTTTCTTTCTTTCTTTTTTCTTTCTTTCTTTCCTTTCTTTCTTTCTTTCTTTCTCATTGTCTCTTAAATTCTTTTACCCAAACAAATTATTTTTCTTCGCCATCATTTAATCTTTTTTTCAGCCATTCATTTTGTGGCATCCTTTTCTCCATATTTCTTCACCACCTTACTTCCTTTATCTTCTTTAAATCCTTTTATGTCTATCTCTATCTTTCTCTCTCTTTTACCCCATGTTCATACGTGCGTTCGCGTGTGTGCATTTCGCTAATAGCAATGTCTGCACAGAAATGAAATTACACAGGACCTAAAACTTACTGATATATATTCTCACTGTCAATGACCCGCGTGACGTTTAGCTCTATTCTTCAATATATCGAGTATCCCGCGATAAATATAAGATAAAAATATTTTTTTTATTGTATAAATTTCTTCGTATATTTCCTTGGATTAGACATGTTGCTCATTCTTCGATATGAGAATTTGCGTCGGGCACAACATTGAAACTGTGCGTTTTGAATGAAGAACACATTTTCTTAATAAAGGCAAGAATACCCGCGGTTTTCCTCTGTTTGGAGAAACGACTTCTAGCGCCTATCACTGAACAATCGTAACGCGTAAACGTATTTCTATGATTTGCACGTTTCACAGCGATGTTCTCGACGCCATATTTGTTTCGCTTATCACGCGGTGGGAAATGGGTGTTTGTTAAGAGCCAGCGAAAAGAATTGTTCTTATTAAAGGGCATGTTGACTTTGTGTTTTGCTCTGACTTCTCGAAAAAGAAGTCGGCAGCCTTGAGATGTGTCTTTACCCAGGTAGATATAATGAGAACTATGAGGAGAGAGACAAATAGGAACTGTGGAAGCTGCACCTGAACAATGAATCGGAAAGCTTTGAAAACCGTTGATAAAAGTGTTAATTTACTTCGGATCACGCCACACTTGCGGCGAGACGAAAGGTCATCTCCGTTTCTGTTCGTCCTCAAGAGCAACAATCGATGACGTCAAGGTGGGTGAAAGAAATCATACTCGCTGCCAGAGATCGCAAGGTGTAAACTATTTATATATATCTCCTGCTTTGTTTTCACTTTTCTATCTTTCTTTCTTTCCCCGTTTCTGTCTTATCTTTCTTTCTTTCTTTCTTTCTTTCTTTCTTTCTTTCTCTTTCTCTTCCTAGACCATTCATTTTTTCTTTATCTATTTTTGTCATTCATTCATTCTTTCTCTCTTTCTTTTGTTTCTTCCCTTCTTCCTTTCTTTCTTTCCTTTTTTTCTATTTTTCTTGCTTTCTTCCCCTTCATTCTTTCTTTTTGTTATCTCCTCAGACAATTCGTTATTTATTTATGTATTTGTACCATTATTTCTTTATTTCTCTTTCCTTTTTTCAGACAATTCTTCATTTATATATTTATCTATTTTATGCCTCTTTCATTTAGCTTGTTCTTTTCATTCTTTCTGTTATCCTTTTATTCGTTCTTTCTTTTTTTCTTTCGTTTTTCGGAATATTGTTTCTAAATTTCTTTCTGTCTTTCTTTTTCTTCTCTTTTTTCTTTCTTCTCTTTTTTCTTTCCTTCTAGAGACAATTCTTTGTTTCTTTGCTTATACTATTCTATCAGAGATCGCAAGGTGTAAACTATTTAAATATCGACTCGTGAGTAACTTTTTTTTCTCCAAAATATATTCGAGCCGATGTCTAAATTAGCGACATATTAAGCACATATTATCGGTTTATACATCAAATGTCCAATAGTTAAGCAGTGGATTCTGGTCGGATTATACAAAGAATAAATTCCATTTATTTCAACAATAACGATTTATATTTAACACATGGATCGCCATCCACGAGATAGCACGTGATTTGCAGTTTTCATTGTCACACCGACACTGAATAAACGAAAAATTTTAAGTTTAAAAAAAAGATTGTTTTTATACATACTCCCTTCAGGAAGTGGGTGTTCGTAGCTCTCAACAACTTCCTGTCCTTTGTATTAAGAAATGTCTTTTGCTATGGCAAGAAGGAGGAACGGTGGAGTAATGGATAGCGCCTCGGATTGAGGAACCGAGTTCGAATCCCAGTCGGATCCATTACATTCACTTACGTACTAATAACCTTGGGAAAGGTATGAATCGTCTTCTTCTCCCCCCGCCCCTCAGCTATGAGTAAATAGCAGGACAGTTCGAGTTCTTTAGTCTTGAATGCAACTGATCTACCGCAAAAAGAAATGGCAACCTACTGCGGGAAAAAATCTGCCTCGTCAGTCACGTATCGAAAGATCGATGATCTAAGCGGGTATTACGCATGGCTCATAACTATCTGACTGACTTTTGCTATCCATCCTGAACCCTGTTCTGTCAACCAATTACACAAGCTCATTAAGGAATTTCCTCTGTCTTTTTTTTAAGTTCAGTATGTTCTGTGAGTGTCAGATTCTCCAAGGGTTCTTTCCTCATGATACGCATAGAAATGTCAAAAATAAAAACTCTACATCTGTTTAAAAAAGAAACGAGTAGGTGTGTGAACTGGGCGATAGGCGAACCTCTCTATTCCTATTGAGGAATAAAAAACAAGAAATAAATTTCAGTTAGGCTTTAGAAAGTGACCGGAAGCCCAATCTGAAACAGAAAACAAGTTTTCCTTTCTTTAAAGCTTCTTCGTTACTCACTGAACAAATTAAGTATTCCGACCCATTATCAATTACATCACACTCAGCATCCAATTTTACAACACCTGGTATTCCCAAGCGGTCACCCATCTAGGTAATAACAAGGCACGATGTTGCTGAACTTCTATGATCGTACGGGAAACAGTGTTTCCAACAGAACCGATTGTGTGCAGATGATAGTTTTATTATTTAAATGTTATTCTTAGTGGTTTGGCTTGTTTTGTTTAACGGCATATCAACCACAATGGTTTATTTAATGTCGACAAAATTTCCTTTTTTTTCTAAAAATGTATAGCGGGTAACATTTTCAGAAATGTATAGCTGGTAATATTTAAAAAAAAATGTATAGTGTGGTTTGTTTTGTTTTGTGGCATATTAACCTCAATAGGTTATTTACTGCCGAGAAAATTTTTATTTCTGGTAATATTTTCTTTTTTCAAATATTTATTACTGATACTAATTTTTAAAAGTATTTCTGGTATTAAAATCTATTTTTACATTTTCATAGTGTTTTGAGACAGGTATTCTTAGTGGGTATACCAGTAAACAGTATATTTATTTTCATCTACCGGTCTGAATATTCGTGAAATATTATTAAGCAAAAATATGCGGTCTCAAGATTTTTTTGATATTCAGGCTGAGGGACGGAAAAAAATAGGTACACCGACACAACAAGTCATCCATCGATACACACAACGGGCTTGTTCACGCAACATGGATGAAACAGACACACACAGCATCGAATGGAGAAACGTTTACAATATGTTTAAAATTACCAGCGTCCGACAGCGTTCATTTTATGCAAAGATAAAAGCTTTCCTTCAAGCGTTTTGTCCTAGAACCAATAGACTGAAGACGTCAGATACCAACCAAAGCGTTACCCGGAATATTTCTTATTCTGCTGCGACAGTGAGAAATAGAAATATCGTCCAGAGAGCAGCAATCAGCCAGTTATTTTCTGGGCGACCTTTATGACTCTCTGAACAGATCCAGATTTACTTGAATCCTCAATGAGCCAGGCTGTGACATAAGGTCGATTTTTTTAACGTGGAGACTCGAGTGTTTCAACTTGGGCCGCTGGTCTTAGCTTGTCTAAGATGGTCTTAGCTGGTTATAGCTTGTCAAAGCTAGTCATGGTCAGTCATACCATCTGTACGCAACAGATGACATGCAATGGAAGCGGGGAAGACACTACATCTGCAATTCATGTCGATAGGAAAAATCCACTTCTATTCCTATTATATTTATTACAAAGTTTCGGCCGTTGTACGCTCCGGCCTTCTAGAACAGTGTACCCCAGTGAGCGAAATAAAGGGTTCAATTCGACATTCGAAACCACCTGAAGAAGGCCGGAACGTATAACGGTCAAAACTTTGTAATAAATATGGTGACAAAGATGAGGATAATAGTCCGAATAATGTAAATAGTGTACATAATACCTCATCTCAGAAATGTAGACAGACACTGAAAGGCCGAAACATTGTAATAAATATGGTGACAAAGATGAGGACAATAGTCCGAATAATGTAAATAGTGTACATAATACCTCATCTCAGAAATATAGACAGATACTGAAAGGCCGAAACGTTGTAATAAATATGGCGACAATGATGAGGACAATAGTCCGAATAATGTAAATAGTGTACATAATACCTCATCTCAGAAATATAGACTGATACTGAAAGGCTGAAAAGTTGTAATAAATATGGCGACAATGATGAGGACAATAGTCCGAATAATGTAAATAGTGTACATAATACCTCATCTCAGAAAAATAGACAGATACTGAAGGGCCGAAACGTTGTAATAAATATGGCAACAATAATGAGGACAATAGTCCGAATAATGTAAATAGTGTACATAATACCTCATCTCAGAAATATGGAGAGATACTGAAAGGCTGAAAAGTTGTAATAAATATGGCGACAAAGATGAGGACAATAGTCCGAATAATGTAAATAGTGTACATAATACCTCATCTCAGAAATATAGACAGATACTGAAAGGCCGAAACGTTGTAATAAATATGGCGACGAAGATGAGGACAATATTCCGAATAATGTAAATAGTGTACATAATACCTCATCTCAGAAATATAGACTGATACTGAAAGGCTGAAAAGTTGTAATAAATATGGCGACAAAGATGAGGACAATAGTCCGAATAATGTAAATAGTGTACATAATACCTCATCTCAGAAATATAGACAGATACTGAAAGGCCGAAACGTTGTAATAAATATGGCGACGAAGATGAGGACAATATTCCGAATAATGTAAATAGTGTACATAATACCTCATCTCAGAAATATAGAGAGATACTGAAAGGCTGAAAAGTTGTAATAAATATGGCGACAAAGATGAGGACAATAGTCCGAATAATGTAAATAGTGTACATAATACCTCATCTCAGAAATATAGACAGATATAGCAGAAGGGGAGTGGTGAACGAGACAATAGAGAGCAGGTATTTGTTTTACAATCTTGGATAAAATGGTTTTTGAATCGTTCGGTTAAAAACCAAATATTTTAAGCAAATGAATATGTCTCCCCTTTAAGGTTTCAATGACATTAAATTAATCTTTTAATACCTATTGTTCCTCGAGTGAAATATATTTTAAGACAAACCTTTTTAATGGCCGACGTTTATTATTATTATTTTATCGATAATTGAGTAGGATAGATGTAACCGCAAGTTCTATGCTAACAGTTTCTTCACTCACACTTCTCGCTTGTGGAACGTTCTTATGGTTCTATGCTTTCTAGTCAACTTTAATTTGAAAAGATTTTAATATACTATCAATCGCTATCTACTTCCCTCCTGATTACACTTTTTTCTCGCTCCTAAGAAATGTTTCTGTTTTTAACTCTTCCACACCCAGTAACCCCTTGTGTCTCAGTGGCTTTATTATGTTCCATGGGGTGAACTCGATTAAAAAATACAACATATTAAACTAAAACCAAAACGCGGTTACACAGCGTGTTAAAATACAATTGGTGAACATTTAGTATAGAAAAATATTTTAAAATACATTCCATAGGGAAATGCCAGCATATCATCTCCAGTTACGGAAAATGGTGGAATTATAGAAGGGAGGTCATCGAAAGATTTGCCATGGAAACAGCGAGAGTATCGAGAGACTTGAACAGCGAGTATCGACAGGCTTGAACAGCGAGAATATCGAGAGACTTGAACAGTTAGACATCGGAAATAGTAAAGTGAAAAGCGAGAATATCGAGAGACTTGAACAGTTAGAGTGTATCGAGAGACTTGAACAGCGAGTATCGAAAGGCGAACATCGATAGGCTTGAACAGCGAGAATAACAGCGAGGACTTTAAAAGGGTAGAATTGAACAACAGTTAAGGTGTATCGAGAGAGAACAGCTTGAAATATCAGCGAGTAACAGCGACGATGGGCTTGAACAGCGAGAATATCGAGAGACTTGAACAGTTAGAGTGTATCGAGAGACTTGAACAGCGAGTATCGATAGGCTTGAACAGCGAGAATATCGAGAGACTTGAACAGTTAAGGTGTATCGAGAGACTTGAACAGCGAGTATCGATAGGCTTGAACAGCGAGAATATCGAGAGACTTGAACAGTTAGATCGAGAGAAAGAAAAGCGTATTTGAACGAGAATATCGAGAGACTTGAACAGTTAAGGTGTATCGAGAGACTTGAACAGCGAGTATCGACAGGCTTGAACAGCGAGAATATCGAGAGACTTGAACAGCTAGAGAGTATCGAGAGATTTGAACAGCTAGAGAGTATCGATAGACTTGAACAGCTAGAGAGTATCGATAGACTTGAATAGCGAGAGAGTATCGATAGATTTGAACAGCTAGAGAGTATCGATCGACTTGAACAGTGAGAACGTATCGATAGACTTGAACATCTAGAGTATCGAGACACTTGAGCAGCGAGTGTGTATCGAGAGACTTGAACAGCCAGAGAGTATCGAGAGACTTGAACAGCTTTGAGAGTATCGAGAGACTTGAACAACGGGAGAGTATCGAGAGACTTGGACAGCGTGAGAGTATCGTTAGACTTGAACAGCTTGAGTATCGAGACTTGAACAGCGAGAGAGTATCGAGAGACTTGAACAGCGAGAGAGGATCGAGAGACTTGGACAGCGAGAGTATCGACAGGCTTGAAAAGCGTGAGAGTATCGACAGGCTTGAACAACGTGAGAGTATCGATATACTTGAACAGCTTGAGTAACGGGACTTGAACAGCGAGAGAGTATCGAGAGACTTGAACAGCGAGAGAGGATCGAGAGACTTGGACAGCCAGAGAGTATCGAGATTGAACAGCGAGAGCATATCGAGAGACTTGAACAGCGACAGAGTTTCGGGAGACTTGAACAGCGTGAGAGTATCGATAGACTTGGACAGCGAGAGAGTATCGATAGACTTGAACAGCTTGAGTATCGAGAGACTTGAACAGCGAGAGAGTATCGAGAGACCTGAACAGCGAGAGAGATTCAAGAGACTTGGACAGCCAGAGAGTATCGAGAGACTTGGACAGCGAGAGTATCGACAGGCTTGAACAGCGTTAAAGTATCGATAGACTTGAACAGCTTGGGTATCGTGACGAACAGCGAGAGAGTATCGAGAGACTTGAACAGCGAGAGAGTATCGAGAGACTTGAACAGCGAGAGAGGATCGAGAGACTTGGACAGCGAGAGAGTATCGAGATTGAACAGCGAGAGAGTATCGAGATTGAACAGCGAGAGAGTATCGGGAGACTTGAACAGCGTGAGAGTATCGAGAGACTTGAACAACGTGAGAGTATCGAGAGACTTGAACAGCTTGAGTAACGAGACTTGAACAGCGAGAGAGTATCGAGAGACTTGAACAGCGAGAGAGTATCAAGAGACTTGGACAGCCAGAGAGTATCGAGAGACTTGAATAGCTTGAGAGTATCGAGAGACTTGAACAGCGAGAGTATCGACAGGCTTGAACAGCGTGAGAGTATCGATTGACTTGAACAGCTTGATATCGTGACTTGAACAGCGAGAGAGTATCGAGAGACTTGAACAGCGAGAGAGTATCGAGAGACTTGAACAGCGAGAGAGTATCGAGAGACTTGCAGAGTAGCGTCTGGGGAAAAGAGGAATGTTTAAAGAGGTTTCCACGTACCCCAGAAGATCAA